GTGGCAATTGGACAATTAAAACAGACATTCAGATGGCGGGGAAGAAGAACAAACTGGGGAGGAGGGTAGAGAGAATGGTGCAGCAATGAAGGAATGAAAACCAAAAATCCCTGTAAATGTTCATTAAAACTAATAAAATTTAATAATAAAAAAAAAAAACGAGTCCATATGGATTGACTCTGGTTTGTCCGTAGTGAATGCTGTCAGCTTGATATTCTAGAGCCCTTGATTACAGTCACACAGCTGGCAAGAAGGGGAAATGGGCTGCTTTAAAACTAAAGTTCATTCTCTTTCCCTCAAATCTCTGCTTTGTGTGCAAATGTTAAATGCCTGTGTCTCTTTTTATAAATATTTTAGTGGTTGCTTTAGGAGGTAATTCTTTTCTCTCACATAAAAGGATATTCAACAGAATATCGAAATCATCTAACAATATCATTAATGCCACATTCAAGTAAAATCTTGCTGAAGATTATTCAAAGACACCTAGAAGAGTATGTTCATAGGAAACTGCCAGAAATTAAAACTGAATTCAGAAGAGACCATGGCATGAAGACTCATTGCTTATGATCTCCTTCATGGATATCATCAGATGGATCTTGACTGAGAGCAGAGAATACCAGGAAGATGTTTATATGTATTATTGACTTTTACAAAAGCATTTGTGTAGATTGTAACAAATTATGACTAATATTGAGAATGGGAATCCTAGAACATATTGTGCTCAAATGAAACCCATACATAAATCAAGGAGCTGTTGTCTGAACAGAGCAAGTGAACACTGTATGGTTTAAAATCAGGAAGAATGTGTGTCAGGGTCGTATCTTTCTCCATATCCAGTCTGTATGCTAAGCAAATCATTCGAGAAGCTAAACTATATAAAGAAGGATGTGGCATCAGGACTGGAGGAAGACTTATTAACAACCTGTGTTATGCAGATGGCATAGCCTTGCTTGCTGAAAGTGGAGAAGACTTGAAACATTTGCTGCAGAAGATCAAAGTACACTATAGCCTTCATTGTGGATTTTAGCTTAAGATCAAGAAAACAAAAATCCTTACCCCTGGAATAATCCATCATGATAGAAGCTTGAAGTGGTCAAGAATTTCATCAACACATGTGATAGCAACAGTCAAGAAATTTAGATGTGTTGCACTGGTAAAATCTGCCATCAAGGACCCCTCTAAAATGGTAGCGAGCATATTTGTCAGTTTAAAGAATATGGTGCACCTGATCCAAGTGTTTCCTGTGTTTCTGAAAGTTGAACAGTGACCAAGTATGACAGAAGAGTTGATGCCTTTGAATCATGGTGTTGGAGAAGAGTGCTCCTAGACTGCCAAGAGAACAAGCAGTGTGTCTTGGAGGAATTGAAAGAAGTGTGCCCCTTAGATGTAAGGATGGTGAAACTTTGTCTCATGTACTTTGGATATGTTGTCAGAAGGACCAGTCCTGAGAAAAAGATAACCACAGAGATAGGTGGAGGATCAAAGAGGGAGAGGGAGAGGAAGCCCCTCAATGAGGTGATCAACACAAGACACTGTGACTGGACCAGGGTACACAGGATATTGAGGATGGCACAGAACAGGACAAGGTTCAGGGTTGTGTTCATAGGAGCGCTGGGAGCTGTCGCTGTTGTTAGGTGATTTCTTGGTGTTAAGTGACTTGATAGCCCATAATAACTAGGTACATAAATACCACTTTTCTCCAGTGTACTTGGGTGTATTTTCTCTATTCAAGTATAGAAATTTTATCTCATCTTTAGCCTTTTTTCCTCCTCATTTTTATGATTGTTTTTAGTTTTCCCTCTTGCATTGAGAACCAGGTCAGACAATGCACTTTTCTATTTGACTGTCAAAGAGAGTTTACAAAATTCAAGAGGAAATAAATGTTTGTTGTATTTAGGGATATTTTTGTTATTTCTCTATTCTAATAGTTCAGTAGTGAGCGTTTTCTGTTTCAAAAACGTCTTTTAGGAAGGACAGAGTACAAAAGGGCGTAGGGAACATTTGGAGAGGGGATGCTTATGTTCATAGGGAGCTCTGGTGGGTAAGGAGATGTGCTGCCATCCCAGAAGCAAGCCATTCAAATCCACCAACTGCTTCAAGGGACAAAGATGTGAAGCCTTCCAAGCAATTTGTAGTCTCCAAAAACCTACTGGAGGGTTAGCTTTGAATTGGTTCCGATTCAGCTGCACATACAACAAGAAATGATACTCATTATCTTGATGGTAACGGTTTGATAGGTAGAAGAATCAGAGGCACAGTTACAATCACTAGGAGGCAGGAACACTCACCAAATGGGACATGGTCAAGAGTTTAAGTACCTGCTACAATGTGGAACTTGCTGATTTTAGCAGAAACTCATCTCACCCTTCAATGAATATTTTGCCATTACCAGTGCTTGCCCACTACCTAGGTGAGCTCCGGAGACAGAGACTATAGGGTTAACGCTGGTAATCAAAAGGCAACACATGTCTCTGGTGATTCAAATTGACTTGCTGCTCTGTGAATGGGCATCTTCTCCTGTGCCATTTACAGCCTCTGAAGATTTGCCAGAGCGTCAGCTGTGAGTGAGTTCCGACTCGATGGCAACGAGTGCCCACACAGGTAAAGGAACAGGGCCAAAAGCGATAGTCGGCTACAAGCACTCAATGTCAAGTAAGCTTCCAGTTTTTAGTGACAAAGACAACTGTTGTAGAAGATGGGCTTGGAATATGTAATTTGCTTTTCTCTCCTGATCGAAGGCAGCACCTCTGCGCACATTCCTGAGGTCCTGCTCTTAACCAGCATCTTTGGAGGCGGGTGTCAGCTGTGCCCAAGGACTGTGAAGAATAGATGCATCTTTTTCCAGCACTGAGAAGTTTCTGTGCACATCCCTCCTCACCTGAGGTCCTGCTGCTGGCCAGCATCTGTGGAGGGGGGTGTCACCTGTGGCTGAGGACTGGGAAGAACAAATGCATCCTTCTTCCAGCACTGAGAAGTTGAGTGGAGCTTCCGAGGCTTTTCTTTTAGCCCAGGTAGTGAAGCTTAAAAGTACAAGGTCCAGGAGTTCTATAGCAAACCACTAGATGACACTGCATCACAATAGTGCCAGATCACCCGATACTAAAACATCCACGTCGACAAGGATAACCTGGGATAGGGTAATGTCCAGATTCCTTGCTCTTAGGGTTGTGAGTCATACCCTACTCCATGGTACCTAACAACAACAGATGCAAATTGATGTTTTATCAGAAGCCCAGTGTCAGAATTCCAGGGCTGCTGCAGGAA